TCAGGGAACAGCATGCTGCTCACCTCTGCTATTGTGCTCCAGGTGGACCCAGCAGGTAGGGGATTTGGTATAGTGATTTAAACTGGATGTTCCTGAAGCCCCAAATGGCTTCTTGGAATGGTAATCTGAGCCCTGTCCAGACCATGGAAGTCAGGGAACCAGTAGTCACTCACTTCTGCTGGCTATGCCCCATATTGATCTGACTGGTAAGGGATTGCTAGGTGAAGTATTTAAATTGGACATTCATGGATCCCCTGCAGGCCTCCTCATGAAAACAACATTTCTGGAGTCCAGCAAGACTTCTTGGTATGACAGGGAGAGATACAGGCCAGCCAATAGAGGTCAGGGGACCATGCCCAACTCACTTCTGCTGGCTGTGCTCTAGGTGGACCCTGAATTTTTTTAATTCATAAAAACTACCCTAGTATTTAGGAAGTTAGAAACAAAAATTCTAATTTGGTAGAATTGACTAATTTTTGGGAGTAATTAACTGTTGGGAATTTACTGAGTTCATGTAGAGAATAATTAAATAGCAGTTAATAACTGTACTGAGCCTGCTTTGTATTCAGTAATTCCACTTTAGGAATTTATCCTAAGAGTAAAAAGCTATAAACTTTTTTACATTATAAAAACTGGGTTTTGTAAAACATGTGTCTTAGTTAAGGATTTACTTCTATTAACAGACACCATGACTAGGGCAACTCCTATGAGGACAACATTTAATTGGGGCTGGCTAACAGGTTCTGAGGTTCAGTCCATTAGCATCAAGGTGGAAGCATCATAGCATCTGGAAAAGCTTGGTGCAGGAGGAGCTAAAAATTCTACATCTTGTTCTAAAGACAGCTAGGAGAAGACTAGCTTCCAGTCAGCTAAGATGAAGGTCTTAAAACCCATGCCCACAGTAACACACTTCCTTCAACAAGGACTCACCTCCAAATAGTGCCACACTCTGGGCCAAGTATATGCAAACTATCACAACATGTATAATTTTATTAATTAGAGTATGTTTGCTAATACATAAATTAGAAATACTATGAGCTGATATATATAAGAGAATTACAGGGAAAGAGTATGATCAGAATACATTTAAATTCAAAACTTGTTTTAAATATAAAAAATAAAATAAATGCACTATATGGTACAGCATCACAATGAAGAACTACTCAATACAGATTCTAAATATGTTAACAAATTGATTTGCTTCAAAGGATTTATTCTTAAGCAAAGGAGACAAGAAGCATGCTGTCGTTTAGTAGACATCTTTTGATGTCAATTGTTCTACATCAGCCTAAAATTTAACATTATCACTATGCATCTTCACTAAACTAGTCTGAAACATGCAATGTAGACCAGGTTTGTCTTGAACACAGTACCACTTGCCTTTGCCTCCTTAGTGCTGTGATTAAAGGTAAGCGCCAACACATTAAATTCTTTTTGTACCTTACATTTTCACTTTTAATATCTACTTCAAATAATACAGAATTATAGAACCACAATTTTATATATAAGTATGTCATGATATTCAAATAGTAGAGAAATCTACCATCAATACTCTAAAAGCAATGATTTAAGAAAGTAAAAGAGGTGTGTGGGGTGTTGTGTGTGTGTGTGTGTGTGTGTGTGTGTGTGTGTGTATGTCTATTCAAAAGCTTATTTTTATAAAAAAGCATTTCTGTACTATATAATTGGTTGGTGAATCCCCCAGGAAATCATATATTTGGATCCTAGTTACACTGAGAATTCTCTATTCTTGTGAGATTTTTCTGTAGAACACTGAGAAACAAAAACTCATAAGACAGTAAAATTCTATAACATAAACTCTATGTTACATTCAGCAAGGTTTGTAACACTTGAACTGCAGTGAACTGTAAACTAGAGAGTGATATGATAGACTTTTCATATAAATATAAAATAAATTAGTCAAAAATACTTCTAAGAGAACATTTATTCTGCATGTATTTAGTGGTAGAATGAGGTATGTGTGGAGAGGGATGGATTATTTGTGCTTTGTATTCACAAGGATGATGGCTGTTTTGAAGGGCAGTAAGCCTGCTCAAATCTGGCCAGAGAGCCTATTAATAAAGATGTTAAACACTAAAAGGATTGGTATTTTTGCCATTTATATTTGACTTATGGATAATTGTGCAACATTAGTAGTTAATACAGTCTTGGTGTAAAATGGAAAGAATTTAATTTTTAATGCTCTCTAACGTTTCATTGAACAAACTGAACATAAGTGCATTCATTAACTTGTGTCATTTTATTCTGCAGGGAATTTTTAAAGCTTGAGACTAAATACAAATGTGATTGTTGAGGCAGGAAAAGTCAGCGGTTTATTGCAATAGAATCCCATTACATGATGGTATATTTGTACCAATGTTGTTATTGCAATGACTTGGGTAAATGGGAACACTGTGTAATATTTCACAGCCATCTAACATGCTCCTGTGAACTGGGTATTCTTCATCCAATAATTTAATAACAAACAAGGAAAATACAGATTCTGTCTTTAATGAATCATGTTTGAACTATTACTATTCTTTGACTTACTCTGATTTACCTATCTAGAATTTTTTCTAATTCTTCAATTTATATTACATGTATCAGGTAAGTTCTTTTAAAACCTCATGTCACAAACACTGGCAAGACTTTTCAGTTTGTTTTGACTCTTATTTTCATTATAAGTTGAAATATTTCTTTTAATAACCCCAATGTAGAAGATATGATCTTACAGGGCATAAATTTAAATTTCAATTTTAACTATTTTTAAAAAGTAAAAGTAACCCAGTAGAGATTTTTCCTTAGATTGCTTCCTACATCTTATTAGATGAAATGTGTGTAACTTGGCTTTTAGTAAGAATTCCTTTTCAAAGTCTATCTAAAGTCTTGATGCAACTGAAATTTCAGAGGCATGTCTTCTTAAACCAATCTGTTTTCATTTCACCTCCTGTCTCAAACACAACCTGAATATAAGACTTTCTTCAAAGTCTTCTACCCCATGAAACATATGTAGAATATTGACAATAAAAATTTTTATGTGAATTAATAGAGCAAAACCAAGTATTTCTACTTATTTAATTGCTTGCAAGGTGCCCTGATATTTAATATTGTTAATGTGTTAGGGTGTCTGTATCTTCAAATTTTTTCTCACCAGACGTTATATCATCTGTGTAAATTGAAATTTGAGACATAATCTCTTATTTTCCTCTAGATCATGCTTACTTAAAATACATTAGTGTTCTTACTTACTATTTAAGGAATGAGCATTTGTAATGAAGGCATATTCTATATCAGTGTTTCACCATAATTTTTACATTGCCCATTCACAGTTATAGTTTTGATCACTTATGAATTTTTTTTTACTATGAATTCTCCTAATTTAGAAAGATACATTTACCTTTGGACTCCTTTGATGTTTATTTCCCTTGACTTTAAATTCCTCTTCCCATAAAACATCCTAAGAGCATTTTATATATCTCTGTCTCTACTCTATTTATTAAATCACTACACTAGACCCTACGTGATTTAGCTCATAACAAGGCAATCAGCTATTTCCAGCCATCTACATGATCATTAAATTTTATATTACAATGTGGTGTGAGAGAAGTGGTACTTCAGAGAAAAGCCATCAGAGAGAGGAGTTAGAAGACTTCAAAGGGGCACAAAACAGAAATTACTCCCTCTGAACTATCTGAAATTCAGAATCATTAACTACAAAACAAATTATGTGCTAGGAGTAAAACTACATAACACAAGAATTATTTAGCTGTGTAATACTCTGAGTTCCACACTAACAACAAAATAAAGCAAAACAAAACAAAAACCAGACAACAGATATGTCCAATGTTTCAAGTTTGTTACTACTTAAATGAAATAGGTAAAGTCATTCAGCTAATCTAGGTTTATTTCAATAAATGTGGGCTTTAAAAAAACAAATGGATCTTGCTTTACATATGTAGCAAATATGGGCTTTATTTTACAATATCTAATATTAAACAGAAAAATAATATATCTTAACGCATACATATTAGAAAGGAATTAAGTGCATTATTTAGCTTTGTGGGTTTTCCAGTTCATCATAAAGATAAGAAATAGTGGTTATTCTCATAGACTTAAAGCATTATTACTATGTTTGCAATAAACCTTTAATTATCCACAGATACAAACAGTATGTATATGTTATATAGGTATAAACATACAACTTTTAAAGACATAAAATGGTTTCACATGAACATCAGTTTTCTAACTGTAGGACACATTAGTTAGAACTGTTATTTTGCTTGACTGATCCTTCTTCCTCATTCAGTCAAGTTTGAGCCAAAGGTAGCAGTAGAGAAGTGTATCTCACAAATTGTATCTCACAAACATTGATGACACACTCTTGAGATTTGTAGTATCTTTCTTAATTTCAATTACTTTCAACGTTCTAACAATGTGTGGACCACATCTTCCTCATCATGAATGTTTATCTTTCTACTATTTTGGAAATCCCTCCCTTTCAATTTATTATGTTTGAGAAAATTTCTCTTCTGTTTAGTGTGAAATCCTGTTCAGTTGGACAGTATTGTTAGTTATTGAGGTCACTGTGAATAAAAGTGTTTCATAAAATAATTTTCTCACTTAGGTGCAAAGTAATTTGACATATCAATGAGATTAAGCAATGTAACTTATTGAATAAGTCATTGGAAAAATATTTGAAAAAAAAACACTCATGAAATGAATACTCATGAAACTGCAAACCCATGTTTCAAAAGACTAACATGCCTCCATTAATTGGAACAGGTGCTGACTCACATCTGCATATGAGAAGAATATGAGTTCTTGTCAGTCAAGTAATGTGGATGAAGAAATGTTCATGGGAAGAATTGAAACTCTCTGCTTAAAATGTTTATTCATTGAATAAGATTATAAATATTAATTTTTTATGGCTATGAAAGAAGAAATATGTTTTACTATATGTGATTTTAGTTTAATATCTTCTATTGATTTGTTAGAACAAAACAGAAATGAACAACCAATCAGTCAAGATAGAGTTCATTTTGCTTGGACTGACAAATGACCCTCAGCTACAAATTCTGATTTTCCTGTTTCTGTTTTTCAATTATATCTTAAGTGTGATGGGGAACTTCATGATCATACTTCTCACCCTTGTGAATCCCCACCTCAAGACTCCTATGTATTTCTTCCTCCGTAATTTCTCTTTCTTAGAAATTGCATTCACCACAGTGTGCATTCCCAGGTTCCTCATGAGCATTCTCTCAGGAGACAGAACAATTTCCTACAATGCTTGTGCAGCTCAATTGTTCTTCTTTTTCTTACTCGGGGCCACAGAGTTCTACCTCCTGGCTGCCATGTCCTATGATCGCTATGTAGCCATCTGCAGACCACTGCACTACCCCATCATCATGAATAGCAAAGTGTGCTACCTACTGGTCCTCAGCTCCTGGGTAACTGGGTTCTTAGTCATCTTCCCTCCTTTGCTCTTGGGGCTCAAACTGGATTTCTGTGCCTCCAAAACAATAGACCACTTCCTGTGTGACACTTCTCCTGTCCTGCAGCTGTCTTGCACAGACACACATTTCATAGAATTGATGGCTTTTGCCTTAGCTGTCATGACGCTTGTCATCACCTTGATCTTAGTGATTCTCTCCTACACTCTCATCATCAAAACCATCCTAAAGTTTCCTTCAGCTCAACAACGGAAAAAGGCCTTCTCCACCTGCTCCTCACACATGGTTGTTGTCTCCATTACTTATGGGAGTTGTATCTTCATGTATATGAAAACATCAGCCAAAGAGAGGGTGACTTTAAATAAAGGTGTAGCTGTGCTTAACACATCTGTGGCCCCTTTGCTAAACCCTTTCATTTATACCCTAAGGAACCAACAGGTGAAGGAAGCTTTCAAACATTTGCTTCATAAATTTTGTTCTCTACAAAACAATGAGACAAGATTTAGACATGCTATTGAAATACCAGTAATAAAATAGACAGCAACTCTCAATTGCATTGTTTGTGATCAGAGCCATTTCACTCACTGAGTGTTTAAGGCACATGAAGTTTGTCCTCTTCAGATATTTACATATCTTTTAGTTCCATACATCTTCCTAACTAAGGAATGTGAGTACCTTCTCAAAACAAGATTTTTTTATATATTTGAAAAGATAATTGCTAAAACTATGTTGTTTAAAATAGTATAGAACTATACATCTAAAAATTTCAGTGAACACAAGCTGGAAAGTAAAAGCAAAATCACACTAATTTTCCTTATGTTTAAACTTCAGAACATGAATGATAAAGATGATTTCAAAGTATTTACAAAAAGGGAAATAAATAGAAAGGAACAATGATGTAAATGTTATTTGAATATTGTCACAAATTATCATTGTCAAAGACAGTGATCTATTTTAAATGTGTCAAAAACAGAAGGTAGGTAAAACTATTTCCAATTTTGTGAGGAACTACGAGGCTAATTTCCAAAGTGGTTTCACCAGATTGTAATGGAGAAGTGTTCCTCTCTCCTCATCCTGGCTAACATGTGCTGTCACCTGAGTTTTTGATCTTAGCCATTCTGATTGGTGTGATGTGGAATCTCAAAGTTGTTGATTTGCATTTCCCTGATGACTAAGGATGTTGAACTTTTCTTTAAGAGCTTCTCAGCCATTTGAGATTCTTCAGTTGAGAATTCTTTGTTTAGCTCTGTACCCCAGTTTTAAATAGGGTTTTTTGTTCTCTGAAGTTTAACTTCTTGCGTTCTTTGTATATTTAGATACTAGCCCTCTATCAGATGTAGGATTGGTAAAGATCTTTTCCCAATCTGTATAGTGCTGTTTTGTCCTAGTGACAGTGTCCTTTGCCTTACAGAAGCTTTTCAATTTTATGAGATCCCATTTGTCGATTGTTGATCTTAGAGCATAAGCCATTAGTGTTCTGTTCAGGAAATTTTCCTCTGTGCCCATGTGTTGGAGGTTCTTTCCTACTTTCTCTTCAATTAGATTCAGTGAATCTCATTTTATTTGGAGGTCCTTGATCCATTTGGACTTGAGCTTTGTACAAGGAGATAAAAATGGATCAATTTCCATTCTTCTACGTACTAACTGCCAATTAAACCAGAACCATTTGTTGAAAAGGCTATCGTTTTTCCACTGGATTGTTTTGACTTTGTGTCAAAGATCAAGTGACCATAGGTGTGTGGGTTTATTTTTGGGTCTTCAATTATATTTCATTAATCTACCTGCCTGTCTCTGTACCAATAATATGTGATGTTTTATCACTACTGCTCTGTAGTACAGCTTGAAGTCAGGGAAGGTGATTTCCCCCAGAATTTCTTTTATTGTTGAAAATGGTTTTTGCTGTCTTGGGAGTTTTGTTACTCCAGATGGAACTAAACCACTGACCAAAGAGGGTGGGACCCATGGCTCCAGCCCCATGTATAGCAGAGGATGGCCTTGTTAGACATCAATGGGAGGAGAGGTCCTTGGTCTTGGGAAGGCTTGATGTCCCAGTGTAGGGAAATGTCAAGTGGGGGGAGGCGAGAGTGGCTGTGTATGTGGATGAACACCCTTATAGAAGCAGGGGGAGGCAGGACAGGAAATCAGGAAAGGGGATAACATTTGAAATGTAAGTAAATAATACATACAATAAAAATATAAAATCACAAGATGTTCATAAACAATGTACAGTATTATTTTAAAATGTTATAATGCCCATTTCAAAATAATAGAAGAACACCCTAAATATATCATTAGGGTGTCTAAAATGGAACAGATTATAACACAGTGAGAATTCTATATATTATGACATTGAAAGGGAAAGAGGAAAGAGATGTAATCAAAGAAGATGGAAAGATCATCCATGCTCATGGATCTGCAGAATTAACATAGTAAAAATGGCCATCCTACCAAAAGCAATTTACAGGTTCAATGAAATCCCCATCAAATTTCCAACTCAGGTCTTCACAGAGATAGAAAGAGCAATTCTCAAATTCAAAACAAGATTCTTAAATTATGTATGTATAGATAAATTATCTTCTTGTAGCTTTTTATGTTCTATTCAACTGAAACTAGATAAATTTAACAAATTAAGCTATTTTGGACATTGCAAAGGACAGAGAAAAGCTAATTATTATTATATAAAATTATTGAAGTTATCATAACAAATTAAAATTTTAGTATTTGAAAAATGAAAATAATTTTCAAAGATGAAAGATTACTCATGATGAACCTTGAAAAAATGACCAAGAAAATATTTAAGATTTCTATAATGAATGTAATAAATTATGCCAAGCAATTGCAATTTTGCTGAAAAATTATTCTCTTGTAGGAGCATGTTAATGAAGAATATTACTTTTTAAAACTTAATTAGAAGATATAGTGCTTTAAAATAATTTGACATCATAATCTGGTACCAATTGGTACATTCAATTATAATGTCTAAATTGTGAAGGAGATAGTAATTCAAGATAGGTATTCTTCTATTTATCATTAATTTGTATCTTGATTTGGATAAATTTCTATGACTCAAAAAAATAAGATACAATGCTCTAACCAATTCTTTCTCCATCGGTTTTTGTAAATAATGTGTGTAAGAAAACTCTACTCTATAATCATTTTAAACGACAAGTGTTGACACTCATATAACTAGAAGGTAGCACAGTGAATTGTTCCCTCTACCTATTCCAGTTACTTTGTGCCAATATCTATCTCAATCTGGAAATCTTGAGTATCTGTAGATTAGACGTATCTTTATAGACTTTCATAAAATGCAATAGCACAGCTTTCTGCATTCTTTGGTTTACTTCAGTTCTTTAAACTTCCATGCATCTACTCTGATTTTTGTTTCAGTGGGGCCACTGTGCTCTTCTCATGGCCAACTTTCCCCTCTTTATCTCAATGATCGCTGATTTGGTTTCCTGCAAATAAACCCAGAAGAATAAATCATTTACTTCAGTGGGTACAAATGTGAGAACAAGAAAGTACAGTTCCTAAGAGTCCTATTGGTCATGAGCAACTGCATCGCAATGTCTTGGGAATTAAACTGGCCAAGGCCAATTTTCTAGACAAAAAAAAAAAAAAGCCTACAAAATTGTTTTTAATGAATAAAAGAAAAACTATTTAGGTATATAGTCAACATTCTGCTGATCGTGTTGGGACACACTTTATCTGAAAATTAGAACTCAATTCACCTACTTTTCTCTGGGTTCCAATGCTCAACCTCCCGTGAAGAGGAATGAAGGGAGCTAAAGCCTGAGAGCTGTTGGAAGAGTATTTAAGGAATTAACGTGAATTTGAAACCCTATCCTAACTGCACAGACAAATGTTAAAGGTAATTGGTAACAGTTTTTAATCTTGTCTGGGAGAAATCATTCCAGTAATCTTTGCAGTCACATAGATTGTTCTCAAACTCTTAGTAAAATCAACTACAGCCCCTAAATTAGATCATAATTTTGAGCACCAATGGCTTTTCCAAACAGTAGCCTCCACTTACACCCCACTTCAAGATTTTGTAAAATCATTTCATTGACAGTTAATCAAAACATAAAAATAAGAAAACTTTGGGAGGCAGTATCCCATTTTTTTTTCCTCTGTTCTTAGACCACAGCTAGAGAAAGACATATTAATGTTGACCTGATAATAACTATTTCTAGAAAGTGTCTTTAACAGTAAGCAAAGCAGTATGTCACTAGAACAGTTTGAAGGTGTCCTGTCCCTTTGGGAAAAAACAAACAAACAAACCAAACCAACCAACCAAATAAAGAAACAAATAAAAACAAAACAAAACAACAACCAACCAAACCAAACCAAACCAAACAAAACAACAACAAAATCCAACAAAGATTATTTCAGACTCTGAAAGTTACGGCTTCTGTTACTTGCTCTATTCAGAGCTGGAGACAGGCTGTGACATAGAAGATACATTTGCCATTTTCTTGTCAACTTATTCTACATTATGTAGGACTGTTTAAAATTCATGGTCATTTTTAATGCTTAAGTCTATGCTACTCATCATGTTATTTAAGATCCTCCAGATGGTATGATGAGAAATGTGGTTCAACACTGTATAGTCAGTTGTTTCTAGGAGAAAGTTTAGGGAAAAGTACATGTAACTTAGGACCAGCCCAAGAGAAACACATCTAGAATTAAGATCCATTAATTTCCATGTGAAATAAGACCTCTGCTCTGGGACTGTCTGAAATAAACTAGTTTTCCCCAACAAATCACAGACCTTTGAAAGAGAACTTCACATGTGCTCTTGTGTTCATTCATCTACTCCAATTTCTGCAAACAGAGCTCTAAAAATTTTGTTTTGTATAGAAGTCAAAAAATTAAAACTGCTTCTTGACAATCAATGTTTATTTTTATTGATTCATTAAATCTACATACTTCAAAACCACAGTACAAGAAGTATGTTGATTTCAATTCTGAATTATGATTTAGACAATTCTGAGTATTTGGAGAGTCAGGATTTTTCTTTTCTTCCTTTCTCAGATATTATCCAAATTTGGCATATATTAGCCAAATTTACTAACCACAGAAATTTAAAATTCAAGTATTAGAAAATTATATTAGTCTCTATGGACTAGGACCAAGGAGACATGATACTCTGGAGAAATATTTTGCCTTTTCTTTGTGGTTATGAACATGTTCACTAAGGTACTTTGTAGTTAAGCTCTTTTTATTAGTACATAATCACAAATGACAAAAATATCAAGTTGATGGTGATCCTCATATTAATCTTAACAATACTCTTACTGTCTAGGATATTAAAATGCCCAAAGATGAAGCTCTCAGGAGAAATCAGAGTAGGACAGCAGAAAACAGGGCTCACAATTTGAGTAGTTTGAAATTTATTTAATAACAATGATGGTAACTATGATTATTATGTTAAACAAATCAAGATATTATTGTTTATGTTAAGAGACATAACTAAAATTCAGTCAATTAAACAGTGATACAAATCTAGTCTCTTTTAAACTATATATATGTAAGAA